GCGATGTTTTGGTGAATATTTGCCAAGTCCATGCTCAACACCAGAAATTGCACGTTACTCTCCCATAGTCAGTGCCTTGCCAATGGTGTCGGCTGTGCCTAGGGATCCTTTTGGCTTGGGTAGCTTGGTGTTGGAATCCTCCTTGCTCTTCTTCCCCACTTTGTCCTGTAATGTAGATGTGCAGCAATAAAAACTACGATTCATGGCATCATCTGTCTCCTGGCATTTTTCTGGCACTGTTTCTGTGATCTTCGACAACAACTTTCCTGTCTTTTTAGAGACGCTCCCTTATAAAGGGGCTATGGGTGGCCAGAACAGCCTCTTCCTTCCAACTGGAGTGGAGGGTTTCCTGGGTATAAGGCCACAGGGAAGAGGGAGAGATTCCAGGTGAAAGGGGTGGAAAGATGCAGAGGGGGCTGTGACGCTTCTAGTTGAATTCTGGAAGGCCTGCGTCCAGGCTGCTGCTCCCTCTGCTCAAGGAACAAAGACGTGTGCATGCTTTGTAATTAAACAAGTTGGAGCAAGAAAACACCTCGTCTTCTTCCAAGTAGAAAACTGGCCTGGAAACCCAGCGTAACTGGCCACCCCCAGCAAAGGCGAACAGGGGAATTTTCAGACCCTCCCCTCAAATACCAAAACACCTTCCGCTTTAACATTGAAATTGGCAGGTTGAATAGGCAAGTTAGATGCTACTAGGCTGGCTGTTTGCATTTAATAATATCTGCCCCATCAATACAAGCCCAGTAGAAGAGCAGACAGCATGTTTTTTATGTGTAGTTCCCACTGATAAGGTGCAGCACGGAGGAGTGTGGAGGATATATAGTGTCACAACATGGAGGTCATGACTCCCTCGCGGCTGGGGGGTTGTGAGCTACATCAGGGGGTCTCCCTGCAACTCGACATGTTTCAAGAGGCAAAACAGGTGGGTTGTTTGAGCTGAATGGAGAAGACTGAGAGTCACTGCTGTGGGGGGTAGGTGTGCACAAAGTAGATCTAGCATCTGAGTGCATTTCTAATTGACTAGAGACCAGCAGGCTCTGATGATGCTGTAACCCTCTTCTCTCACCTCCCCATAGTAATATCCATTGCCAGTGGCACGCTCAGGTAACAGTGGCTCTGCATTTCTCTCTAGTCCATAAAACATGCAGTTTCTAGATAGCCCTCTATGACTACTTCCCTTCTCCTTGGCTCAGGTGGCTGAGGTCTGAGCTATGATACTGGGGGCCTCAGGCTCCAAATCTGCTGGTGTCCAGTTGTGAGGTTTGTTAACACCTGGGTAAATCCACTATCTTTTATTAGACCAACTAGCCTATGTGCTTAGACCAACATGGCTATGACCAACACCTCTTAACACCTATTCCACACTCTCACTGGCAGGTGTCCCATATGTTGGTCAGGGATTTGAACCCTCTGCCCCTAAAACAGACACGCTTCTGTAAGCATTTCAGGAAGATGTCGGTGGAGCACGGCTTCTTGAGTGCCATCATTTTCTTTCCCCCAAGACCATACAAGTGTCAGTCATGTTTCTTTTTAAGAATTTCCTACAGGCAACGTTCTGTTTCCATGACTTTTTATCCTTTTGATCTTTTTTAGGCCCAATGCCTGTTCCCACCTCTCCAACATTGTCATGGCAATAGGTTTTGTTTTCCTTGATCATTTTGACTTTGGAGTTAATGGCATTGCTCACAGGAAGAATTAATCCTTTGAGTGTAGCCAGCAATACATTTCAATACTTCAGATGATGGGCAATTTTGCAAAGGTCAAAATCAGTTCTTAAAATGACGTTCATTTATCCTGGGGTGTTGGTTGTAGCCGTGTTGGTGCGAAAACACAGGCAGACAAGGTTCTTTGGGTAAATGTGATATCTTTTATTAGACCAACTAAATAATTGGAAAAAAATTTCTTTGCAAGCTTTTGGGCACAAACACTCTTCTTCAGGCATAGGGAGAGTCTGCTGTTGTTGAGAGGGAGAGACAGCAGGCTCTCCTGCAGAAGGGTGTTTGTGTCTGAAAGCTTGCAAAGAACACTTTTTCCAATTATTTAGTTAGTTTAATAAAAGATATCGCATTCATCTATGCTGAAATTCACAGCTCCACCCATGTTGTAAAACCCTAAACTGCAGATAGAGTCCTACACTTAATTTTGGTGTGGGTATTTTGTGATGCTGTAGCCCTGCAGGTGAAGGCAAAAAGTCAAAATATAAAAGATGCCAATTTTGCAGCATTGGCAGAAGTGAACAGTGAAATAACTTGGGCATCGAAGCCCACATGATTGTAAAGTTGATTGATTTTTGGATTTTTTTTCTTTGTTTTCTGGCAGTGGAAACTGAAGGGGTTTAACCTTTACCATGGGAGCTATACATTTACTTCTTTAAACCAAATTAGGTGAAACTGGTATGAAAATAGCTAATATCATACTAGGGATAAAATCCTGGGAATTTGAAAAATGTAACTAGGTGTCTGCTAATGGGAGTAGTGAATCTAGGAGAGCAAATATCATGGAGAGGAGGAATAGGCAAGATTTGGCTGGAAGTGGTGGGGAAAAAAACCCAGAATCTAACTCAATCCAACAATGGAGGTGATGCACTGGGTGAGAAGGATGTTCTACATACGTGGGAGTGCACATGTGTTTGCCATGAGTGTCCAAAGCAGGGGCAGGCAATTATTTTGGGTGGAGAGCCGCTTACTGAGTTTTGGCAGCCACTGAGGGCCACATGACAGGCAGTCAGGGGTGATTAAATATTAATTTCTAAATTTTTAGGGGCCCCGCTGGCCGGATAAAGTGGCCTGGCAGGCCGCATCTGGCCCACGGGCCACATTTTGCCCACCCTTGGTCCAAAGGCATGAAAATAGAACTAAGGGTCTAGCCATTTATTCCATTACTTCTCCACTGTGAATGACTTGGAGGGACACACGTGTGTTTTCAAACAGTCATTGTTCATGCTTGTCTTTGCACGTGACAACTCCAAAGGCAGGCTTTCATCAGAAATAATTAGGTAAATAAGCCATTAATGAGGTACAGGCAAGCATGGTCTGGATAATCTTCTCATGTGCCTGGGGTGTCCCCATCTACTGGCTGGTTTCACTGACTGTTGAACTGGGTAATCTCCTACCTGTATTGCTGAGGTTATTTGGCTACCACAATCTGCAGAAATATGTTACTGACAGCATCTTTGTTTGATAAATTCTTGCTCCCATTGGGAGCAGCTGCTGGCTGGATTTAAGCTTTCCTCAGTGTTTTCTCTTTGGAAAATGGCTCCCAGTTGCCACACACACTCTGCAGAGATGCCCCACATTGTACCAGTGTGTTATCTGGATATGACTGCTTTAGCTTTTTTGCTCAGTGAAGGTATGTCTACAGTGCAGTCACTGCAACAGGTTCCTGATACCCTGGGAGATACTCAGCTCATTCCCCTTTTGTGTTTCTCTTTCAAACATTCACATACACTTACTGCTTGGAATTTCTTAACATTTATCACAAAGATCAAGGCATGGTGTATAAGTCCCTTTATTATGAGAAAATATCAGGAAGTTAAGGATTCTCCTAATTTAACAGAGAAAGGTATAGCATGAGCCAACAGCTAGAAGTTACAGTGGGGCACATTCAATTTTGATACAAGATGCCCTTCTTTAAGGGTGAGAGTGAAGGATCATTGAAGAAGACCCATGGGGAGGAGCGGATTCTCAGTGTATTGCAGTTTGCAGCTCAAGTCTCAGTGGGTGTATGTACACGCCACGTTTTTTGCTCTTTCATGTGCTGCAACTGCGTGTCTGTTTGCATGAGCGGGATTTCCGGATACTTTGAAAGTCTTTCTTTGGTATCTTTCCACAGTATATGATTTTCCAGTAGCACTCACTATAAAGCAGCCATACCATTTCTTAGAAAGCAAGTCTCAAGCTTGGATTTCTCTTGAAGAGATTCTTAAAATCTCTCCCAATTCCCTCCTTCTGCTTTCTTGTTCCTGCCTCCTTAACGCATGAGAAACCCTTTAGTCTAAAGCCCTTCTGCTAGGATCAGAGTCTTGAAAAGCAGCCTGGCAACAAAGCTTCCTTTTGTACAGTTGTTTTGCAATCCCCAAGCTGATTTTTAGTTCAGCTCCATGGATACTGTCTCAGGCTTCCTGCTGCTTTTGCTCCTCCTTGCTACCCACAGCACTGTGTGATAATGATCGTGTTTTACAGAGATACAAAATAAAGCAGTAGGGCAAGATCTAGAATTCATTGATGCCCTGCTGTCTCTGCTTCTGCTTGTAAGGAAAGAGGGCAGAGAGTTTGGCATGAGCCTTTGACCAGCTTTAACCAAGCCATGCCAGCATATTTAAGATCTGAAATGAATGCAAGTATAGACGAGGTCTTTTGAATTTGGTTCCTTTGATGAATTAACCATAACCAAAGTTGCTGACAAGCTTTAAGACTACTGTTTGTTTCTATCAAAATGAATAGACCCAGCAGTTATGCTGAAAAACACTTCTGTTTTCTCCCATTCCTAATTTAGAAGCAGGCAGAACTGAGCAGGCGGAGCTGTTGGTGCGGCTTCATTATAATGACCCAAAAATGATGGGTGATGTTGCATGCAGTAGGTTCCTACCCCAGCCTAGGAGGTCACAATACATGAGCTGATACCAGAAGAGTTCTGGGGCTGCAGCATGTACATAGAAGGCAGCAGCAATGCAAACTGCCAACGGAGCCCTACCAGGGCATGGGATAGGCTGTCTCTCACCCTCCCTGCTACCAGCAGCTCTACCACTTGTTTTGAATACCCCCTACCACTTTGTAAGGGTAGACTTTTAAAAAGGAGACTGTCTGAGAGCCTGGATGTGACACACAGAAAGAAATGCCAGGAGATGGAGGATGCCGTGAACTGTAGCTTTTATTGCTGCACATCTACACTAAAGGACAAAGTGGGAAATAAGAAGAGACAAGAAATATTTTTCCAGTAGCAAGCCATCTATATAGCTCAAGTCTTAGTGGAGCTCACCTAGGCATACGCAATATCCTAGGGTACCAAGTTCATCACTTACAAATTCCAAGGAAAGTACTGATCCCTAGACAGCAAGGGCAAAAACAAGGCATAAAGTTAGGCTGAGCACAGAAACTTTTGAAGAGTCACAGTCTAAAGCAAAGGGAATGCCAGATCCACAGGCTGGGGAAGCTGAACAAGTGGCACGTGTATTCATCGCTTGTCCTCATGCCATAATTGCTGGTACTTCAGTGGTTGCTAACCCTGCTTTGGCTTCTGGCAGCACTGCTGCACCGGAGGGCACTTGGGGAGGTGTGGATCCACGCTCTGGAGTGGGTAGGTCTTCTTGCAGAGAGGAGCACAAGGTTCCATGCACATGGTACCAGAAGCCATGCACCTAGGACAGCATGGATCCATGTGTTTGGGAACAAATGGCTTGGCACAAACAGTATCCATGCACTTGACAGTGCACTTCTTGACACAGACGGTGCTACATGACTCCATACACTTGGTGACACAGGATGTAACACAGCTGGTGGCGCATGGATCCACACACTTGGTAACACACGGCTTAGTACAGATGACACCACGTGGATCCATGCATTTTGTAGTGCATTCCTTCACACAGATAGTGCCACATGGATCTCCATGCTTAGCAATGCATGGTTTTGGGCACACAGTGCTGCACAGCTCCACACACTTGGCAACAGATGGTTTTGCACACCTGGTGCTGCATGGATTCATACACATGGTAAGACATGGCTTTGCACATATAGTGCCACATGGATCCATGCACTTGGTAACACACTGCTTTCCACACCCAGTGCAGCATGAATCCACACACTTGGTAATGCATGGCTTTGCACACACAGTGCCACACAGATCCACACAGTTAGTAACACATGGCTTTGCACACCTGGTACTGCACGGATCCACACACTTGATAGTGCATTCCTTCACGCAGACAGTGTTGTACGAATCCACGCATTTGGTAATGCACAGCTTTGCAGAGCTGCTACAGCCTGGATGCACACACTTGGTAACATACGGCTCTGCACAGAAAGTGCCGCATGGATCCATGCACTTGGTAATGCACTCCTTGACACAGACGGTGTTATATGGCTCCGGGCATGGGGTGACACATGACGTAACACAGCTGGTGCCACATGGATCCACATATTTGGTCACACAAGGCTTCGCACAGACAGTGTTGCTTGGGCACATGCATTTGGTTGTGCACTCCTTCACGCAGGCTGCGCCACATGGATCCACGCATTTGGTCATGCACAGCATTGTACTGATGCCATTGCAGGAGTCTACACATTTAGTTGTGCATGACTTTGCACAGATATTGCCACATGGATCTGTACACTTCTTCACGCAGGCAGCATCACACTGATCCACGCATCTTGGGGGAGACTTCTGAATGCAGACAAGAGATGGCAGGCAGGGCTGCTTGCATTGCTCCTGGTTTGAAAAAGCCATCCTTCTGGGTCGCAGGCAAAACTGGAAAAGAAAGATCTCAGTTTCTGCAAAAGCTCAGCACAGCCTTTCTCATGTAATTAGCTTTGTGCATCTGATGTAAATGGTGAATAATTTCAGAGGTTTTAAAAATTGATCTTGACATCAGCAGCAACAGAGGGGTGAGGGGAGAGTGTGCGTCTTAGAAGAATTTGTAACTCCTGACTATTTTTGGATTCAAATGTTTTCATGTAGAACGGAGAAGTGAGTCACTCTGCTTCTCTGAAGGTACAGCAGGCAGGCACCACTTCGTAGAGATGCTTTCCAGGCTATGGGTCTAAATTATACAAGGTCAGACTGATTGAGTGCTGTGGAGCTGGGTCGAGGATAGCTAGGCTTTGCAAACCCACCAAACTGAAGGTCATTTTGCTTGTCCTCTGGCTTTCTAAAATAATTGGACAATTATGAAGATTTCATAGATTTCATAGACATTAGGGGCTGGAAGGGACCTTTTGAGATCGAGGCCAGCCCCCCTGCCAGAGGCAGGAAGTCTGCAAGGATCAGATGACTCCAAGATATGCATGCAAACGCCTTTTGAATGAGTCCAGAGTAGGTGCTTGCACCACCTCTGGGGGGAGTCTGTTCCAGACCTTGGACACTTGAACACTTGGACTGTAAAGAAATTTTTTCCTTATATCGAGTCTGAATCAGCCTTCTAGAAGTTTGTGGCCATTAGACCTAGTTATCCGTTGGGGAGCCCTGGTGAACAACTGTTCTCCAAAATCCTGATGTACCCCCTTATATACACATAGGTAGCCACCAAATCCCCCCCTGAGCCTTCTCTTCGCTAAGCTGAAGAGTCCTATGTCCCTCAGCCTCTCCTTGTAAGGCTTGCACTCTTGGCCTTTGATCATATGGGTGGCTGTCCTCTGGACTCCCTTGACCTTATCCACATCCCTCCTGAAGTGGGGGGCCTAAAACTGGGTGCAGTACTTCAGCTGCACTCTCACTCATGCCAAGTAAAATGGCCCTGGTTTTGCTCAAGATGCATCAGTGAATGCATGCCAGAGTTTGGTTTACTTTGCCGGCTATGGCATCGCACTGGGCCGTGAGATGGTTGAAGCCACAGTTCCCCGGCTTGGCTATGAGGACATCATTGGAGACCAAGTCAAAGGCCTTCTTGAAATCCAGATAAATGACATGAACCTCATCTCCATTGTCCAGGCAATGTGTCACCTGGTCATAGAAGGAAATAAGGTTGGTCAAGAAAGGCCTTTCAGTAATAAAGCCATGTTGGCTGGCATTCAGTAGGTTGCCTTCCCATAGCCTATTGCAGATGAATCTCTTGATAATTTTCTCCAAGATCTTTCCAGGGATGGACATCAGACTGATAGGTCTGTAACTCCCTGGATCTTCCTTCCTCTCTTTCTTGAAGATTAGGACCATGTTGGCTCTTTTCCAGTCTTCTAATACATTACCCAAGCGCCATGAGCTTTCAAATACCTGGGCCATGGGGCATGCTATGATGTCTGCCAGCTCTTTTAAGACTCTTGGGTGCAATCCATCCAGGCCTGTGGACTTATGGATGTCAAGCCTCTCAGAGTTCTCTCACCTGATCTACATCAATTTTGGGCCCATCTCCTGAGCCCTGGATGCTTTGTGTCCTGTCTGACAGTGTGACCCGTTTGGGTGGGTAGAAAACCGATGCAAAGTTATCATTTAGGAGACTGGCCTTTTCTTAGGCATCAGACGTCAGCTGCCTCATTTGATCTCGCAGGGGACCAATGCTGCTTTTGTTCTTTCTCTGACTTCCCACATATCTGAAGAATGACTTTTTGTTATTTGTGATTCTGGCGGCTAGCCTGAATTTGGTTTCTGCTTTGGGTTTTCTGAACCACACCCTACAGGTACAGGCTAGTGCTGAGTAGTCCTCTTTGGTGATGATTCCAGTTTTCCATCTGGTGTAGGCTTCTCTTTTAAGTTTCAGGAGACCCAGAAGTTCTCTGAGCCAAGGGGGTCTCCCTGCCCTTTGACTGTTTCATAGTTTCCTAGTAGCTAGGGTCAGGAGGGACCTGAACAGATCATCTAGCCTGACCCCCTGCCACAGGCAGGAATGAATGCTGGGTTCACAAGACCCCAGACAGGTGATCATCCAACCTCCTCTTGAACTTGCCCAAGGTAGGGGCGCGGACCACTTCCCTGGGAAGTTGGTTCCAGATTTTGGCCACCCTAAATGTAAAATATTGCCTTCTGATCTCTAACTTAAACCTACTCTCCATCAGCTTATTACCATCATTCCTCGTCACCCCAGGTGGTGCTGGGGAGAAAAGGGCTCTACCTATTTGCTGTTGATCTCCCTTGATGAGTTTGTAGGCAGCCACCATGTCCTCCCTCAGCCTCCTCTTGCTGAGGCTGAACAGGTTCAGGTCCCTCAGTCTCACCTTGTAGGGTCTGTCCTGCTGCCCTCTCACCAAGTGGGTGGCCCTCCTCTGAACCCTCTCCAGGTTGGCCACGTCCTTTTTAAAGTGCAGTGCCCAGTACTGGACGCAGCACTCCAATTGCAGCCTGACCAAAGTTGCATAGGGGGGGTATCATCTCTCTGGACAGGCTTGAGATGCATCTTTGGATGCATGACAAGGTATGGCTGGCCTTGCTGGCTGTGGATTGCATTTCCTGGGGGATGGGATGGACTTCCCTCGTGCTTTGAGGATCGAGTTCTTTAGGAACAACCATTCCTCATGGACTTCCATTCCCTATTGTTATGAAGCAACAATACAGTCTTTTTTTTCCTTCCAAGTAATTGGATTACCTCCATGCCTTAGGCAGTCTAAGCTCTGTATGGAGTAACATGGCTCTCGCAGATTTTTCAATGCCCGGCCACACATCTATTGTCATTCAGCTTGGAAACTGCCCTTGCCTCTCAGCAGTCCAGACCTGCTCCCATGCCACAGCTGGATTTCAGCTTTCTGGTTAAATAGGACACTCTGCGAGATCAGAGATTGGTGCAATGGGGACCATTTCTGCAGAGCAAGCCTGTTAAAACCACTTGAGATGCAAGGGAGCGCTATGCCACATCTGATCAGTGACTGAACTGTGGCTTCCTTAAAGCACTCTTGGGCTAAGGGAAAGATTTCTGTTACAATCTTGAGGAAATATACCTCCAACCACAGCGTTACTTCCCAACAATCAGAAAGAGACTTACCCAAATTGCCAATGCGACCTTGTGAAGGAATGGTTGTAGGAGCATTGAGATGTGCAAGCCCTTCTATATGGAGTCAGCCGTCCCATGTCCAGAAATGAGGCGTTCCAGCAGTATGAAAATGTGACTTTTTCAACTATCCAAACCTGTTCCACCTACAGATCCGCACACTGCTTGTTTGCATCATGGTTTTCAATGGAAACCTCTCAATTCAAGAAGGAGCTTGTGAGGCTGAGGCAGTATTTTGTGTAAGGTCTTGTGGCCCATCTCTGTAATACACATGGTGGGGAGGACAATTGTAATGAAGAACTGGGTTCTTCGCTTTAAAAAAATGACACTCATGGATTTCATTAAGCCTTTATGTAAGCTTTCTTGGGCCACTCCCTCAGGCATCTGGAGCCATTCTTTGTTGAGGACAGGAGTCTAACCTGCTATTGATGTGATTTAGTGGGGAAATCCTTGTGTTTCTGAGGATGTACAAACCTTCCCACAATGTTCCCACTTCCCTTCTATAATATGGGTCTTGAAATCATGGATTGCCCAGTATTTTTGCACTGTAAAGCACCGTGCACGCACCCTCTCCACTGTTTGTCCTGTTTACATAAACATTTCCCAGATGATTGCAGATGATGAGTGCTTTTGTTGTGTATTGTCTGATAGTGTGCCTTCATTTTGTGGGGGGCTCTTGCCATGTGGGACCGCAGCTTTGTAGTGTCTCCATATTCAGAACAGATATGAGATTCTATCATTTTTTAATATCACGTAGATCCTAAATACTCTAGGACAGGATTCTGTTTTGATGCATGCAGTATGTCAGTGCCCCCCCCGTGATATCCATACTGCATATATATAGTCTATACTGCATATAAGATCCTTACATACCTGAGATACTGTCTACGTGAATGGCAATGCACTTAGTCTAATTGGGGCTCGAAAAGTCACTTGTTTTTGTGTCTTAATGACAGTTTTATCAAGCTGATTCATATCATTACATGAAATCCTGGAGGCACGGGGAACATGGAGTAACCCACCCATCAGCTGGTTGTTCGCTCAGAAAGGTGAGCATTCTCACAAGAATGACAAGTGACGGGTCTTTTCAATTATTTAAATCAAGAGGCTATTGCTGTATGGGTCAGGAAGCTCATAAGTTGGCTGCAAAAGGCTTCCTTAAAAAAAAAAAAAAAGAAAGAAGTCACATGTTTGAGACTTCTCAGTCTCAAATTGGCCATTGGTCCACATGAATGATTCTCCTAACCATGACCACCTACCTATAAGAGGAGTTGCGGCCCTAGTTCTGCCACCTACGTTCACAATGAGAAGTGCTTTTTCTCTGACACTGTCCCATTGGTCTTGATGGATTGACTTCTCTAAGAAGGTGGTACCATAGAACGGGGTCCAAATCTGTCCCTTTGAGTCCCATGATCCCTCTTCTATGGACTCAGACGAAAAGTGTCCACTTCTGCTGATGGGCCTCAGTCCTTTGGGATCTAATGCTCAGTCCTGAATTTCCCAGTTCATGCAATGGATAAGAACAGTGATACCAAGAAAGCTTGTTGCATGAAGTGGCATTTTTACATTGTGTTTTCTACCTACACTTTTAATTTAGCAATTATTCCATTTGATCGGTAGGTGGTAGGGTGCGGAGGAGCAAGTATTTCTGAGGAAAACAAACTTATGAAGAGACTGATTTTGAGTGTGATCCAGGTAATAAGCAATTAGAAATCCTTAACTGATTGAGATGTGTATCAATGCAGTCCCCCAGGGAGCCAACTCAGAAGAGGCACTCAGTTGGGTAAAGTGCAAACACAAACTAAA